TGTTACTAGTCCACAAGCCTCAAAAGTATACAGCTTAGTCTAAGACTCAGGCACGCCGTACTCCCTCATAACCCAAACAGGACAAATGGAAGGCGGTTCAGGATGCATGATATTGATAAACACAGGCAGCAAGTCATTTAATACTGCCAAAGACACTGCTAAAATGCCATTGCCTGAGTGAAAAATCTCTTCAAGCAGAGCCATTTCATCAAACACCTCACCTGCGACATCGAGCGAGACTATTGATCCATATTCAGCCTCCTCCCACAGATCATCGAACTTTGAAGCAAACCAGTGCAGGAACCTCACACTCGAAACTTCTCCAGGAATCTGTACTGAGTGAATAAATCTCGACTCGAGGCTTTCTCCCATCAAAGCATCGATAATTATCATCTAAAAAATAGAGAATCCTCACAATCGTACAGTCATGAGACCTAGCGTCGAAGCCAAACCCTAGAACTTCATAAGCAGTCCCCAGGGGAAAAAACTCATGGCCCAGACCGGTTCGTCGAACCGCCTTGTGCTTTCTGGTGAATACATTCCACAAATACATCCACCGGCCATAGCCATTTGCGGAAGTTTCTGTGACGCAGATCAAACCATTACATGAACCGACAATTCCGTGACCGATGGGAGGAGCAGCAAAGGGAATTTCGATTTGCGACTGGGAAGGCAGGGTAAGATACTCATCGGGAAACAGAGAGCACAGGCGATGGTACCAATCTAGAGACACGAGGTACCAGCTGGAGGCATCTTGAGCGGAGTGGGTCAAGTGGAGGACCGCGAAACGAGGGTCGTCGATGGCGGAACGCCACGACCGGCAGACGCACCTGCATCGGAGGAGACATTCCACCGGCAGTCGCTTCAGGACCTCGACGGCGACGTCGTGAGGGAGCTTCGGGCCTTCGCCGTCGTCGGAGGAGCTCATGGTCCAGGGGTTCAGAAGAAGAGCGAAGTGGAAAAGCCGGAAAGAATCTGCTGCAGTTGTAGCCGTCGCAGCTAGACATGGCCACGGTTCAGGAACTGCCGGTTCCGGTTCGGAACCGGCGGTTCCGGTTCGTGGCCATGTATGAACCGGCGGTTCCGGGCCGGTTCTGGTTCCGGCCGCTTCCTGTTCGAGGGGGAGGAGGAGAAAAGGGGAGGAGGCGCAGGGTAGCGAGGGGGGAGGAGGAGGGGGCGTCGGCGTCGGTGGCTGCGGCCATGGGCGGGGGCGACGGCGGCGACGGCGGCGGGGGTCAGATCTGGGAAGACGGGGGGCGGGCGGAGGAGAAAAGGGGAGGACCGGAGGAGGCGCAGGGGAGAGGGGGGAAGGAGGGATTTGGAGGAGGAGGTGGGCGTGGGTGGGGGTGGGAACGCTCCCCGGCCTGGAAGGAGAGGCGCTGGTGGTTCATGGCCTGGGTGTAGAGCTGGGAGAGGGAGTTGGCAGCGCTGCAGAAGGAGGAGTAGAGGCTCCGGTCCACCTCGTCGAGGCGGGACATGACGGACTTCCTCTTCTTCGCCATGGGCGGATCACCGGAGGGGGGAAAAGGGGGGAAGGTAGGGTTTTCCTCTCCGATCGAATTCGAACCGCGAAGAGAGAGAGAGAGAAGACGAGAGAGAAGATGGCGGAGGGGGTAAGCTTGTAGGGAAAAAGGCAAAAAAGTTTGGGGGGATGCTGCAGCCTGCAGCAACAGTTTTTTTTTTTTTTTTGGAATCGGGCCCGGAACCGCCGGTTCCGAGCCGGTTCCAAAATTATTGGAACCAGAACTGGGCCCGTAGGCCACGGGCCAGTTCCGGTTCCGAACCGCGGGCTCGGTCAACGGGCCGGTCCCGGATTTGACCCGGGCCGGTTCCGGGCCAAAACCGGCCCGTGGCCATGTCTAGCTCGCAGCCACCTTTACCCCTCTGTTTGCCACGCGAAAGCCACGTGACATAGCACGATCTTGTCACGTGACTTTGACCCTGAAGTTTTGTAAAGAACGCCCTTCAAGCGAGGCCAGCTTATCCGAGTGCGGGGTGGTACGAGGAGCTGATAATGAAAAGCAACCAGAAGTCAACAATTCGACGAACACGTTCGGATCTCCAATGGGTTCGGATTGAATCGGTTTCTTGTCAGATCTCATATATTTTCATTCAAAGTCTTCTCTGCATTACAATGGAAGATTCTCATTTATTTACCGAGGACCTAAGACATAGAAAATAACCAAACATGTAAGAGTCATGGCAACTAACTAATCATTTAAGGACTTACGAGCTAGAAAGCATTTAATTACTGAGGAACTAAGGACTTTTGACTCTTGAAACTTACATAACATTTAAGACCTAGGAACTTAGAAATAAATCGATGACACATGAAAACTTGAAACCTTGAGCCTTGCGATTTATCTTCCAAAATTCGTGCTCCGTCTTTGACCGGAGGATAACCCCTCAATAAATAAGCAAATGTCATAGGAAATTGCTTGGAACAACATCCCATTGATATGTTGTTGATTAGGTTCGAAATCGGTAAGTATTCTCATGTACCGATAACTTAATCGGCAACTCGATAATTTCGGTAACTCGGTAACTTGACAGTTTCCTCGTTGACAACTTCATTCTTGGTCCCATTGAAGCAAATTATAACCCAAATTAGTTTTGGCTTGGATAATCATTGATTGTGCTGGGCTTGTTGATGGAATCAAATCTGAACTTAAGGAATGTTCCATGGAATCGGATGCTCCCGCATCAAAGGCTGGCTACTGGAGACCGCGAGCTCGAGCCTTGCCCGCCGGAGGCCGCAAGCTCGCCCGATCTGGCGAGGCTCGAGCTCACTAGCCGTCACCTCGGCCGGCAACCGTCCGAGGAATAAGAAAATGAAAAAAGAAGAAAAGAAAAAGAAAGGAAAAAGGAAAAGAAAAGAAAAATTATAAATTATAAAAAAATTTCGATTTTTAAAATAATAAAAAAATTCGTTTTTTAAACAAATTAAAAGTTGAAATTTGTTTTTAAAAATATTTTTATAAGAATAAAATGTTTCATTAACCAAGAACCCGAGCCTGAGTGTCGAGGACCTGCGCACTGCCTTTATGGACTCGGGCCTAAGGGTTGGGGCTAGAGCTTGAGTGTCGAGGATCTGAGCACGACCTTTATGAACACGAGTCCGGGTGCCGGAGCATCGGGTATGGGCACCGGGATCCGAGGCCCGGCCGCCGGAGATTTGGTCCTGAACGCCGGAACTCGGGAACCAACATTGCGATTTCCGTGCCTAAGCATAGAGTTTTCATATTTCAGCAAACATTTTCCGGTTCTTTCAAAGAGTAAATCATTTTCCTAAATTTAAACTTTGGTATGAAAACATTGTCCGTTGACTAGGAAAATTTTGCGCCTTTTTAGGCTGTTCGAGCATGAAAGCCAAGTAACAAGGGGTGGATTTGTTATCTAAAGAAGTGGTTAAAGAGCTTGAGAGTTCTTGGACATGGAACAGTCACAGAGTAAGTCTTCAGTATTCAATTTCCCCAATAATAAGTTAGACTATTCTCTAGCAATGTTTCCCAGTTTCTCTTCTCACATAACTTGAACAACTATCATATGACATGTACCAAGGTTAGAACCGGAACAATTATGATGACCGAGAGAAGTCTCAACTAAATGCCTCGAGTGTCGCAGAGACAACCATGTATTTCACCTATTGATCTTTGAGATAAGAAATCGTGATGCAAAGAGAGTAGGATTTCGAGGTAACCAAAAGTTTACAGCGTGAGAAAAGAGTAATAATAGAGAGGACGATTGTCATGATATCATCAGCAAGCGAAAGAATCACTTCATTGTATTGGAAACCTGCAAGATGCATCCATTCTGTATCCATGCTAGAGCATGGATGAAGCACATGTTAGAGCATTCTCATGGACCCTTTCAAATCTGCTACCACAAATGTGATTATCGATTCATAACACTGGCAACGATCTTTATCGACACCTATTGAGATCCATTGCTAGAATTGATGTTTCGGATTAAACCACATGTGATTTTTACGCGTGAATTTTTGAAGGTTCCTATTGATGAAACCTCACATACACAATTTAAACGTCTTCATTGGTTTATAATTCCATTTTTTAAACATTATGTTAACGAATTAAAGTCAAAACAAAATGAAAAGAAACTCATGTCTTTTTACGGGGGCTGGCAGTTGATATTAGTAGTTTGCAGTTGGATTGAAATTTTTTAAAATTAAAATGTCTAGTTTGAGTTAATATGAAGTACAAGCCGAAGCACAAGCACACCAGATACAATTGAGCACGAGGGTTGTCTTGATTTGGTTTTACTATTCCTGTCATTAAATTATGTAGATAATTATAAGCACACCACGTATCCTTCTGAAGTAAAATATCGATCAATCTAAGAGCATGTTCCACAGAAGCAGCACCTTGACCATGAAGCAAATTGTCTCTAGCCTTCCACATAAACTATGTATTGGCATTCCTAAGAAACTTCAACATTACCTTTTGCTGTTCTATGCCATTCTCCATTTTTGCAAGAGCCAGGTGAACTCGGATTGCCAATCACCCGAATTCCTGTTAATAAAGAAGAGCTCCAGCACCTTGCACCAGACTTTAGAAAAGAATAGCAATTTAAAATCACTTTCCCAGATGTCTTTCGAAGGAGGAAGCAAAGAAATTATCTCATCTACAGACCACATTCCCAGATGGCTTGACGTGCAAAATCATTAGTGTATCACAAGATGAAGTGAGACTTCCAACCCACAAATCATTTGGGGAAAAAAAGAGTGTCATAATAAAACAGTCTCCAATGTTTCCTTAATCCATTAATGCAGTTGTTTGCACAGATCAATACGTGAGCTTACTATGTATGCATTGCCAGTGCTGCCAAAAATTCTTGAGATAGGAAACAAAATATAGTAGTATGTAGTTGCACTAGTTGCAATGCCCAGAGATCGAGATGAGTGATTCAGACCGTGAATAGTTTGGTCTTACAGAAGCTGAAAAATACTTATGGTGGCAAAGAATCAAACACATACATGCATAGCATTCAAAACGCTTCGTCATTCTTTTTCACATCATCTAAAATCTGCTAGTACCGGCAATGCTAAAGTTGTAGATGCAGTCTTGATTAGCATACTTTCACTCATACAAAGAACACACTTCGCCTAGTCTAAAGAAAAACTTAAAAGTGAAAAAGCATATTCATTCTAAAGCTTGCAAGAAGTACCAAAAGTAAATATGAGCCACTTCACTACTTATCCTCGTCATTTTGTGGCCGGAGCATATATGAATAAAACCATTTCTTCTCAATTCAGATGTAACTTTCAACTTTTCTGCAAGCAAAATCAATCCTTCATACCGATAAATATAGTGTCAATCGAGTCATATCTAAAGTGAAACGAGACTTTCTACGACGGTGACCAAATTGCATGTCGTCGATAATGGAAGATTAGCGAATTGTCCCGTGATCGGATTCCAAGAAACTTGTTCTCCACCAGATATTTTAATAAGAAGCTCACCATTCCATGTGAAGCCATCAAATCCTACCGGTCCACTAGCCTTAAAATTATACAGCTTAGTCCAAGACTCCGGCACGCCGTAATCTCTCATAACCCAGACAGAACAAACGGAATCCAATTCAGGATGATCAACTGCCTCCCCACCATTAATGAACACAGCCAGCGAGTCATTCAATACTGCCATATACATATATGACAGTAAATAGACACTGTCCACGGGAAAAATCTCTTCCAACAGAGCCATTTCGTCAAACACCTCACCTGCGACATCGAACGAGACTATTGACCTGTATCGACCCTCGTTTCGATAGGAAGCAAACCAGTGCAGATTCCCATTCAAGAAGACCGCTCTGTTGTCCAGGCGAAAAGCAGGAGCCTCACCCTCCAGACTTCTCCAGGAATCTGTAAGGAGCGAATAAATCTTGACTCGACCAGAGCGACGGCGATAATCATCTGGAAAATAGAGAATCCTCACAATCTTATAGTCGATCGACCTAGCGTCGAAGCCGAACCCCAGAACCATACGACCAGTCTCCATATCCGGACCGGGTCGTCGAACCGCCTTGTGCTTTCTGGTGAACGGATTCCACAGATACATAGCCCGACCATAGCCGTCTCTGGAACATTCGGTGACGCAGATCAAACCATTACACGAACCAACGATAAGGTAGCTGCCGGGAGGGGTAGTAACAAACGGAATTTCGGTTTGCGATCGGGAAGGCAGAGCAAGAGACTGATGGGACAGCAGAGAGCACCGGTTCTGGACAGGACCGCACCAATCCAGGCACACGAGATGCCAACGGGAGGCGTCGAGAGCGGAGTGGCTCAAGTGGAGGGCCACGAAACGAGGGTCATCGATGGCGGAGCGCCATGACCGGCAGACGCACTTGCAACGGAGGAGAGATTTCACCGGCAACCGCTTCAGGACCTCGATGGCGACGTCGTGAGGGAGCTTCGGGTCGTCGTCGTTGTCGGAGGAGGAACTCATCATGGGTAGGGGTGGAGAAGAAGAGCGAACACGAACCGGAAATGAACCGGATCATGGAAAGCTTTATCTGTTGCTGGGAGCCTGGAATGATCTGCCACGGAAGTACAAAGCTGGAAAGAATTTGCTACGGCACTGGCCGTCGTAGTCCCCTGGACCTCTCTGTTTGTCGGTGACAACCACGTGACATGGCACAGTTTTGTCACTTGACTTGACAGTTGACACAGATGTTATCTAATATACGTTCTCCTGCTGACGTAGCTTATTATTATTATGGGAAAATACCACAAAAAATTTCAAATTATGTCATTTGTGATAAATTTACTCTAAACTATTTTTGTAACACGAAAAATCCTAAACTATGTCACTTGTGATAAATTTATTCAGAACTTTTTTTATGACACGAAAAATCCCAAATTATGCCACATGTGACACATTTACCCCACAATACTTTACCCCACATGTGACCTCACTTCTTCTGCCCGTCATATTGTGGCCGGAGTGGATGTACAAGATCATTTCTTCAACATTCAGATGTCTCTTTCAACTCTTTTGCAAGCAGAATCAATCTACCATACCAATAATTGTGGCAGCAATTGAGTCATCTCTAAAGTGAAACAATGCTCTCTACGAGAGGGACCAAATCACAATACGTCGATAGTGGAAGATTTGCGTATTGGCCCGTTATTGGATTCCAAGAAACTCGTTCTTCATCATCTATATCCATCAGAAGCTCGCCATTCCTCGCCTGATACAAGTCCACAAGCCTCAAAAGAATACAGCTTAGTCCAAGACTTAGGCACGCCGTACTCCCTCATAACCCAAACAGAACAAACGGAATGCAGTTGGGGATCCACACCTGCGTTTATGAAACTAACGAACACAGCCAGCAAGTCATTTAATACTGCCGCAGAGACCATTAAACTGTCGTTGTCTTGGTGAAAAATTTCTTCTGGAAGAGCCATTTCGTCAAACACCTCACCTGCGACATCGAACGAGACTATTGATCTATATCCACCATCATCGTGCTTGAAAGAAGGCCAGTGCAGGTTCCCATTCAAGAAGACCGCAGGTCTGTTGGCGCAGAAAGCAGGAACCTCACATTCCAAACTTCTCCAGGAATCTGTACCGAGTGAATAAATCTCGACTCGAGGCTTTCTCCCACCAACGCATCGACGATTATCATCTAAAAAATAGAGAATCCTCAAAATCGTATAGTCACGAGACCTAGCGTCGAAGCCAAACCCCAGAACTTCATAAGCAGTCCCCAGGGGAAAAAACTGATGGCCCGGACCGGTTCGTCGAACCGCCTTGTGCTTTCTGGTGAATACATTCCACAGATACATCCACCGGCCATAGCCATTTCCGGAAGTTTCTGCGACGCAGATCAAACCATTACATGAGCCGACGATACCGTGACCGATGGGAGGAGCAGCAAAGGGAATTTCGATTTGCGACTGGGAAGGCAGGGTAAGATACTCATCGGGAAACAGAGAGCACAGGCGATGGTACCAATCTAGAGACGCGAGGTACCGGTTGGAGGCATCTTGAGCGGAGTGGGTCAAGTGGAGGGCCACGAAACGAGGGTCGTCGATGGCGGAACGCCACGACCGGCAGACGCACCTGCACCGGAGGAGAGATCCCGCCGGCAATCGCTTCAGGACCTCGACGGCGACGTCGTGAGGGAGCTTCGGGTCTTCGTCGGAGGAGGAGGAGCGACGGTGTGTGTGTGTAGAAGGACCTGATGATGAAAAGCAACCAGAAGTCAATAAGTCGCCGAACACGTTCGGATCTCCATTTGGGAATGAATCGGCTTCTTGTCGGATTGCGCCGGCTGGTTCGAGAATTCGCCCGTTCTGGTTGCCATAGCCGCTCGCTGCTTGTGGGTTTTGATTGGAGAAGGTGGTACTCTTTGGATTGCTGGGAGGGTTTTCGGTTACCATCTTGGTTAGTCTGAACCTAATGTGCAAGAAAGCTCTGCTTTGATCGAAGTCATCGTGTCTTCGGTAACGCCGCTACAATGATATGGTGTTTCTTTTTATGTTAGCACTCTGCTCAGTTGTTAACATGGAATTTGCTTGATTCTCTAAAAGGGTTTTTCTTTTTATTTTTGGTTGTTTGTTGGTGATTATTTTCTTGCCTCTTGACAAATTGTGCATCAATATGCTTTCCATTATTAGCTCCTCGGATGCAATCGTATCAAGGCTGATGCGTGCGTGGGGAGTGATTTCGGAAATGGGTCTTTTGGATTTTGTATTTGCATGAGTGTGTGTTTGCGCGATGTATGTCGAAAGGTAAAATGGAAACGAAAGATAGGTTACCATCACCACCAAGATACAAAGGATGCACTACCAATCGAGGATGAAGATCGGAATCAACGAAGTTCACCACCGAGGCTTAGAAAACAAACCACCTGCCAATGTTAAAGGATTTTGAGATATGAGAAGCTCACCACCAGGGCCTAAAGGGAAACTACCAACCGAGGATAAAGTGATTCTTGGCTCACCACCGAGGAGTAATCCACTCTCCAAGGATAAAGAAACCAAAATAGGAGTTAACTACTCTTCAAAGATAATTGCTCACATAGAGGAAAATCTCATATTTTCATTCAAATTCTTCTTTGCATTACAATGGAAGACTCTCCTCTATTTATGGAGGACCTACTAAATAGGAAATAACCAAACATTAAAGAGTCATGGGAACCACCTAACCATTTAAGGACTCGGAAACTAAAAGGCATTTATTTACCTAGGAACTAAGGACTTTGACTCTTGAAACTTACATAACAATTAAGACCTAAGAACTTAAAAATGCATTGATGACACATGGAGACTTGAAATCTTGAGTCTTGCAGTTTATCTTCCAAAATTCGTGCTTCATCTTTGACCAGAGGATAGCCCCCTTAATAAATCAGCAAACGTCATAGGAAATTGCTTGGAACAACCTCCCATTAATATGTTGTTGATTAGCATTGAAATCGGTAAGAATTCTAATGTACCGATAACTTAATCAGTAACTCGATAATCTCGGTAACTCGGTAACTTGATAGTCCCCTCGTCAGCAACTTCATTCTTGGTCCCATCGAAGCAAATTATAACCGAAGTTAGTTTTGCCTTGGATAATCATTGATTATGCTGGGCTTGTTGATGGAATCAAATCGGAACTTAAGGAATGTTCCATAAAATCGGATGCTCTCGCATCAAAAGTTGGCCGCCAGAGGCCGCGAGCTCAAGCCTGGCCGTCGGGGGCCACAAGTTGGCGAGGCTCAAGCTCGCCGGCCGTCACCTCGGCCAGCAACTGTTCGAGGAAGAAGAAAAAGAAAAAAGGAAGAAAAGGAAAAAAAAAAAGAAAAGAAAAAGAAAGGAAAAAAGAGAAAAGAAAAGAAAAATTAAAAATAATAAAAAAATTCGCTTTTTAAACAAAATAAAGTTTGAATTTTTTTTAAAATATTTTTATAAGAACAAAACGTTTCATTAACCAAGAACTCAAGCCCGAGTGCCGAGGACCTGCGCACTGCCTTTATGGATTCGGGCCTAAGGGTTGAGACCAGAGCTTAAGTGTCGAGGACCCAAGCACAGCCTTTATAGACACGAGTTCGGGTGCCTGAGCATCGGGTATGGGCATCGGGGTTCGGGCCTGGGACACCGAGGTCCCGAGCTCGGCCGCCGGAGACCTGGTCCTGAATGTCAGGACCCGGGAACCAATGTTGGGATTTCAGTGCCTACGCGTAGAGTTTTCATATTTCAAAAAACTTTTTCCGATTCTTTCAAAGAGTAAATCATTTTCCTAAATTTAAACTTTGGTATGAAAACATTTTCCGTTGACTAGGAAAATATTTTCCATTGAAGCATCTCAGCAGTTTTGGCACTGTATTTAAGCGCCTCCATGAAGGATCTCAGCAATTTTGGCACTGTATTTAAACACTGATAGTGAAATTTTCCTTTTGAGAGTGTGGTTTTAGGCGACGAGGGAAAACCAATGCCTTAGCCAAGTGACAAGGGGTGGATTTATCTAAAGAAGTGGTTAAAGAGCTTGAGAGTTCTTGGGGAGGGCCTAATAAGGTCAGAAGTGTGATCACCTGCAAAGCTTTCATGCTCGCAGGAACAGTCACAGAGTAAGTCTTCAGTATTCATTTTCCCCAATAATAAGTTCGACTTTTCTATAGCAATGTTCCCCAGTTTCTCTTCTCACATAACTCGAACAACTATCATAGGACATATACCAAGGTTAGAATCGGATCAATTATGATGACCGAGAGAAGTCTCAACTAAATGCTTCGACTGTTGCAGAGACAACCATGTATTTCACATATTGATCTTTGAGAGAAGAAATCATGATGCACAGAGAGTAGGATTTCGAGGTAACCAAATGTTTACAGCCTATGAAACGAATAATAATAGAGCATGGATGAAGTACACGTTAGAGCATTCTCATGGACCCTTTCAAATTTGCTACCACAAATGTGATTAGCGATTCACAATACCGGCAACGATCTTTATCGACACCAATTGAGATCCATTGCAAATTTCCATTGAAAGAGACCCTTGAGCAGTCGCTCAGCTTGCACCTGAAATTGAACCACGGATTTGTACTAAGGCTATAAACATGGACTTCAGCGACTAATATGCCCCAGTCTCATCCATATTTATTAGGAAAACAAGTAATTATTAAAAACCTTGTAGTCATTAATCGTGTCCTGTATCCAAATCCTAGAACCACGCCAGCAACGTACACGTCAACAAATAGATCCGAAGGCGAACTCAAAACCGCCTTGTGCTTTCTAGCGAATAAATTCCCCTGAAATATCGTCTCATTGCAAACTTTAGCATTAGCATTAGCAATGCAGATCAATCAATTGCAGGAACCCGGGGCACCACAATTGCCTATAGGGCTAATGAATGGAAATTTGTTTTTTGATTGAGAAGCCGGAGTAAGAACTTATCTGAATACAAAGAGCTCATTCGATTGCGAGAAAAGTACCAATCTGTGGGAAGAATATACCAATTCGTGTCATTGAGATTGCATCACTTCAAGTGCATGGCCGCAAAGGTAGGATCTTCGATCATGCAATGACACGATTTGGAGATGCATTTGAATCTCATGAGAGGCTTCATTGGCAATCTCTTGAGAAAAATTTCAAGGGCTATCTCATGAGGGAGGTTCTTCTCCGATCAAGGCGAATCTAGGCAAAAAGCTCTCAAACCAAGATTGATTCTTATCAAATTAAGATTAATTTTGTGAAATATAAATGTTATGATCTCCATGAAGAGGACTAAGCGTTGCTCATCATGCTTAGTCTCTGTTTGTCTGTCGAGTTCAATTTTGTAACCCTAGACTTATTATATTATGGCCTTTAGAGGGAATAAAATCTCAATATCATAAGAGAATACAGTGATGCTATAATTATAGCAAAAACGGATCTATATATCCATCTCTGCCTCATGGCCGTCCGAGGCCAGCTCGAAGGCCACATAGAGACCTCTGACGGCGATTTCCGATTGATCTCATGGTGATTGACATGGCCTTCAACCGTGAGGGCCACGGCAGCCATCTAGATTGACCTTGAAGTCCCCCAACAGCCTATATCCTGCTAATCTTTTTGTATCTTTGTCTATACAAGTTATTCATTTAAAGTCATAAACTAGAATTGATGTTTCGGATTAAACCACATGTGATTTTTACGCAGGAATTTTTAAAGGTTCCTATTGATGAAACCTCACATTCACAATTTAAACGTTATCATTGGTTTATAATTCCATTTTCTAAACATTATGTTAACAAATCAAAGTCAAAACAAAATGAAAAGAAAGTTATGTCTTTTTATGGGGGCTCACAGTTGATATTTGTAGTTTGCGGTTGGATTCAAATTTTTTTAAATTAAAATGTCTAGTTTGAGTTAATATGTAGTCCAAGCCGAACCACAAGCTCGCCAGATACAATTGAGCACGAGGGTTGTCTTGACTTGTTTTTACTATCCCTGTCATTAAATTATGTAGATAATTATAAGCACACCACGTATCCTTTTGAAGTAAAAAACGATCAATCTAAGAACATGTTCCACAGAAGCAGCACCTTGACCATGAAGCAAATTGTCTCTAGACTTCCACATAAACTATGTATTGGCATCCCTAAGAAACTTCAACATTACTTTTTGCTGTTCTATGCCATTCCCCATTTTTGCTAAGAGCCAGGTGAACTCGGATTGCCAATCACCCGAATTCCTGTTAATAAAGAAGAGCTCCAGCACCTGGCACCAGACTTTAGAAGAGAATTGCAATTTAAAATCACTTTCCCAGATGTCTTTCCAAGGAGGAAGCAAACAGATTATCTCATCTACATACCACATTCCCAGATGGCTTGACGTGCAAAATCATCAGTGTATCACAAGACGAAGTAAGACTTCCGACCCACGAATCATTTGGGGGGAAAAAAGATTGTCCTAATAATACAGTTTCCAATGTTTCCTTAATCCATTAATGCAGCTGTCTGCATAGATCAATACATAAGCTTACTAGGTATGCATTGCCGGTGCTACAAAAAATTCTTGAGATAGGAAACAAAATATGGTAGTATGTAGTTGCACCAGTTGCAATGCCCAGAGATCGAGATGCGTGACTCAGATAGTGAATAGTTTGGTCCTACAGAAGCTGAAAAATGCTTATGGTGGCAAAGAATCGAGCACACACATGCATAGCATTCAAAAAGCTTCGTCATTTTTTTCTGCATCGTCTAAACTCTGCTAGTACCGACAATGCTGAAGTTGTAGATGCAGTCTTGAGTTGCATACTTTCACTCATACGGAGAACAAACTTCACTAGTCTAAAGAAAAAATAAAGTGAAAGTGAAAATGCATATTAAAGCTTGCAAGAAGTACGAAAAGTAAATGGGCGCCACTTCCCTACTTATGCTCGTCATTTTGTGGCCGGCGCATATATGAATAAAATAATTTATTCTCAATTCAAATGTAACTTTCAACTTTTCTGCAAGAAGAATCAATCTTTCATATCAATAAATGTAGCAGCAATTGAGTCATATCTAAAGCGAAACGAGGCTCTCTATGACGGTGAACAAATCGCATGTCGTCGATAACGAAAGATTTGCGAATTGTCCAGTGATCGGATTCCAAGAAACTCGTTCTCCACCAGATATTTCAATAAGAAGCTCACCATTCCACGTGAAGCCATCAAATCCTACTACCGTTCCACAAGCCTTAAAATTATACAGCATAGTCCAAGACTCAGGCACGCCGTAGTCTCTCATAACCCAAACAGAAGAAACGGAATGCCAATCAGGATGATCAAGTGCCTCCCCACCATTAATGAACACAGCCAGCGAGTCATTCAATACTGCCATACACGACAGTAAATAGACACTGTCTACGGGAAAAATCTCTTCCAACAGAGCCATTTCGTCAAACACCTCACCTGCGACATCGAACGAGACTATTGACCTGTATCGACCCTCGTTTCGATAGGAAGCAAACCAGTGCAGATTCCCATTCAAGAAGACCGCTCTGTTGTCAAGGCGAAAAGCAGGAGCCTCACCCTCCAGACTTCTCCAGGAATCTGTAAGGAGCGAATAAATCTCGACTCGACCAAAGCGACTAAAACAATCTTCTGGAGAATAGAGAATCCTCACAATCTTATAGTCGATCGACCTAGCGTCGAAGCCGAACCCTAGAACCATACGACCAGTCTCCATATCCGGACCGGGTCGTCGAACCGCCTTGTGCTTTCTGGTGAACGGATTCCACAGATACATAGTCCGACCATAGCCATCTCTGGAACGTTCGGTGACGCAGATCAAACCATTACACGTACCAACGATGCGGTAGCTGTCGGGAGGAGGAGTAACAAATGGAATTTCGGTTTGCGACCGGGAAGGCAGAGCAAGAGACTGATGGGACAGCAGAGAGCACAGGTTCTGGACAGGATCGCACCAATCTCGGCACACGAGATGCCAACGGGAGGCGTCGAGAGCGGAGTGGCGCAAGTGGAGGGCCACGAAACGAGGGTCGTCGATGTTGGAACGCCACGACCGGCAGACGCACCTGCAACGGAGGAGAGATTTCACCGGCAACCGCTTCAGGACCTCGATGGCGACGTCGTGAGGGAGCTTCGGGTCGTCGTCGTCGTCGGAGGAGGAACTCATCATGGGTAGGGGTGGAGAAGAAGAGCGAACACGAACCGGAAATGAACCGGATCATGGAAAGCCTTCTCTGTTGCTGGAACGATCTGCCACGGAAGTAGAAAGCTGGAAAGAATTTGCTACGGCACTGGCCGCCGCAGTCACCTTTGACCTCTCTGTTTGTCGCGTGAAAACCACGTGACATGGCACAATTTTGTCACGTGACTTGACACAGATGTTTTCTAATGTAAGTTCTCCCGCTGACATAGCTCATTATTTTTTTTATTTTTTTCTTTTAATATCTCTCTCCATCTATGTACATATATATATATATGTATATAAACACAATCAGACTCCATCCACTTCCTTTAATAATTACATATATCTTAATCATACATAACAATCTTCATGCATTTGCATAGCATGTGTCTTGTCTCTAGTTTAAATATTCATATATCTAAGTCAAAACTCTCGATCATCTCACTTTTTTAGCGCCACATTTAGCCATTGTATACGTATTATCCTAATTATAAAGTAAAGATAAACTAAAGGTAAAAATGGTCAAAGAAAAAGGACGAAAAGGTAGAGGAAAGAAATTAACTAGTTACTTTCTATCGAGAAACAAGTGATAAAATTCCTTGATTGTCCTTATAGTGTAGTAACTAACTTCTTTCACTTTATGCGACGAAATTTAGGATGCGTTTGATAACATTTATATTCTCGAGAACAATTTCCTTTTAGGAAAAGCTTTTTTTTTTATTTCTCCTCCTTAGACGAGTTTCTGAGCAAAAAAACTCATTTGGTAACTGCACAAAAATTTATATTCTTGGAATTGAAAAAAAAAACAGAAAAGCATTTGGTACGACTCTAAAAAAATTTTGTTACGTCGAGTTTTTTTTTTTTTATTTTCTGAGATTTTCTAATTTTTTTACTTTTCTTTTCTTTTCTTGTTTTCCTCCCTTCTTCTTCCTACTCTAGCCGGTCGCCAGGCCTCGGCGATCGACCAGCCACAAGGGCTAGCCTTGGGCGAGCCTTGCCTAGCCACGGTGAGGCCAACCTCACCCAAACACAATGAGGCTCGCCCGAGGCTAGCAAGGTCGGACTCGCCAGCTATTGCCGACGCCTTGCAATCGGCAAGAGTAGGAAGAAAAAGGAAGGAAAAAAAAGAAAATGAACTTATTTTAGAAATTATTCCTGAGAACAAAGAAATAGATTATTTTTACTTCTTGTCTCTATTTCAAATCTATTCATTGGCCACTTTTCTATTATGGGGAATAGAAAAATTAACTAATGTTATCAAACGGATTTATATTCTTTTTTTGTTCCAAGGAACAAAATAATAGAAAAATAGAAAAATAGGATTGTTATCAAATAGGCCCTTAGAATGCTCCTTTCATTTTCTTTTACTTTTTGAACTTAAAAAATGTTATTTTTAGTTATTAAAAAAAGTAAAATGTTCATTTATTGGTTGCTTCCTGGAAAAATAATTTATATAGTGGAAAAAAACGAAAATATTGTCAACTTTGATTTGTGTATTTTTAAAGGTATGATTTTGTTTTTCCGTCTAATTAATGTTGTGAGTTTTCTAATTAACTTATGATGTTGCACAATGAGTGCAAACTAATTAACAGGTAAAAGATTATAAATTGTTATCGTTTCTCAAAACTCGAATTTTTTTTTTCGACTCATGCAATTTCATAGAGGAAGCAATAAGTAAAGAGTAAAAATCATATCAAAAGACTCTTAAAAAACAGTAAGAGACATTGCCGGCAGGGGTGTAACAACATACCCGAACCCAACCGACCCGAACCGAACATTGCTGGTGGGATCTCATTCCAATTCGAGTAAAAAGTAAAAAAAAATTGAGTAATTTTAATATTTCGGTTTAGTTCGGGTCATGTACCCAAACTGAATTGAAACACATTAGACATAGAGAAAATGAATCCTAAACACTAAGCAGCTCCCCTCAGCACCTCCACCTCATCCCTCATCCCTCGGCCACCCTGCCGCCATCCACTGGACCTCCATGTTCCGTGGCGCCTCCTCCAGATCAACGTGAACAGCCCACCATCAACACTGTCGGAGCCATTGTTCATGGTCGTTCAGCTCTTCATGGCAGTTTAGATCTTGATGCGTCCATGGACGTCAATATCTCCAGAGTTGCTTCCATAGTTGTCCACCCTCGAGCTCTGTTTTTTTTCCTCCTCATCAGGATCTTGACGAGATAGGCGGTCATGGAGCCTCATCGTCTCCAGATCGAGAGGAGATACTCTAGATCTAGAGGCGCCTCGTCGACGGTGAAGATGGTCTCAACGGTGATGTTTCGAAGCTCGTGATGCGATCTCAAGATCCGTGCATGATGATGTGCTTGACTCTGGAGCAAATTGCTCTAAACTTGTGACTCAAACCGAATTGTGTTGAGGAAAACTCCTAATGAATTTGGAAGCTCACAAAACTTTTTATGTTTATCTTGTGAATCTGACATGAATTCCATTCCAGGTTAATATATTCTGGAAGTTCATAAGGAAATATCAGACTTTACAAGTTCTCAGAACTAAAAGTTCAGACTCAGAAATAAGAAGTTCAGACTTTACCATAAAAGTCATTCAGACTCTAATTTTGAAAGACTCAGATTTTACTGAAGACCTACGCTAACTCAGGTTCTGAATGTAAAGCAAGCAAGAATCAGAAATTCTTCAAACGTAGAAATTATGCAGATGCAGACGCTGAAGTTTTTTAGACGCAAAAGCAAAACTCATTCAGAATGAATCACAACAGCTAGTGATCTGGCATGGATTTCACAAAAGGAAAGTTTTGATTGACTCAAGCTCAGCCTAATTGATTGACAATCAAACATTATGACAAGTATGCATTACAATGGATAAAGCTCTACTTATGGAAACTAAGATTTTGATTGTATGGGCGACCAGAATCAACGGGATTTAGATTTTATCAGCTAACGGCTACTCAATCCATTTTATACAAATATGTCCAAGATAAAGATTGGAAGATGATCCTCTCAAGACTGTCCAACGGCTAGTTTGGTAGTGGAGGAGTATAAAAGGAGACCTACGAGGAGCAGAAGGCAATGAACGATATCGAGAATCAACAAGTCCAAAGTCTGAATATACTCCGATCCTTTCTCTTGTCTTTCTTGAGCTAAATATTAAGATCTTGAGGGATACTTTGTAAGAGTGATTGTGTGAGATAGAGAGTCCTATCATACATAAGAGTGCTGTCACTCAGAATCTGTAATTCCTCTTGATTACATAGTGAAATCCAACCAGTAGGCTGTCAGCGTGGGAGAGTGGACGTAGGCTTGCTATAAGCCGAACTACTATAAACTTGTGTGCAGTTTTTCTATCCCTTATCTCTTACTTTATATACTGCACATCAAGAGCACTGTCTATATAAACTGTTTTGAATCTGAATTTTATTCAGACTCTATTGTGATTTATCATTTCAGCTATAAATTGATCAAAATTGTTTAAGATCACCTATTCACCCCCCTCTAGGTGATCCTTGCTAGCTACATTAATTGGTATCAAAGCGGGTTGCTCGTTTATTGAAGTGTATTACTTCTGAGCTAACGATCTTTATGGCTAACTTGAGTGCTCCAGGTCTCATTGAAGGACAAAGCAACAACATACCACCATATTTCGATGACAAGGAATATAGTGTCTGGAAGAATAAGATGAAGGCATTCATCAAGTCAATTGATCACATGTAATGGGATGTTATCATTAGAGGAGTCAAACCAAAACCTTCTGATTCAAAAGAAAAGATAGAAGGGAGCACACCAATAGATCCTCCATTATCTCAAACTGAGATATCAAAAAGAGAAGCTTTAGATTCAAAAGCAATTTATTCTTTCTATTGTGCTTTAGCACCTATTGAATATAAGAAAATTGCTTCTTGTGAATCAGCTAAGAATATCTGGGATACTCTCTACACTATATATGAAGGAACAGATCGAGCCAAGGAAACTCAAATCAATCTATTGCTTGGTCAATATGAATCCTTCAGAATGAAGTCTGGAGAATCAGTTGCTGATATGTATGACAGATTTGCTGACATAGTAAACGGTCTTGCATATCAAGGACAACCAGTCTCAGATGCGATGAAAGTCAACAAACTTTTGAGAGGACTGTCAAAGCAGTGGGATAATATCAAAACATCTCTTCGAGAGACTCAAATGATCATTCCTCTATCAGTGAATGAGCTAATCGGAACTCTTCAATCATATGAGACTGAACAACTGAATGAGGAGAATGAATCAAGAGGTAAAAAGTCAATTGCATTAAAGTCTAATATTGATTCTGATGATGCAGATTCTGAAGATGAAGATGTTGACGATGAAGAACTGGCTCTCTTCATAAAGAAGTACAAGAAGATGAAAGTCAAAGGAAGAAACCTCAAAGGGAAGAAGCCTTTTGAGAAGAATAAGACTCTCGATAAAACAGAAAAATCAAAGGAAGTAATCTGCTTTCATTGTAGGAAATGTGGACATATCAAGCCAAATTGTCCATTTCTGAAAAAGAAAAAGACCAAATTTGACAAAGCAAAGAAAGCCTTAAAAGCAGAAACTTGGAGTGATACAGAGTGTGAAGACAGTGATGAAAATATCTCAAACTTCTGTCTGATGGCCAAGTCAGACTTAGACTCAGATTCTGATGATGGAGTCGAAATTGAGGTAAAGTATCATGACATTCCAATTGAAGTGTCAAATTACATTGATGAATTATGCTTTGAATTTAAGGCTGCTCTTAAAAGAATCTCTTCATTAAAAAAGGAAAATTCATCACCGAGGCAACAGGATGTTTCACAAAAAGAAAAAATTGATTTCTTTCAAAAAGAATTTCATCAAGTCAAGGAAAATCGAGATTTACTTTCCAATGAAAATGCTATTTTGAAAAAGGAATTTTCAGAAATTACTTCTAAGTTTTCAAAAGGTTCAGAAACCTTGAAGCATATTCTTTCTATACAAATTCCTTACTACAACAAATCTGATCTCGGATTTGTGAAGGAAAGTGACAATTTAATTGATTTTCCAAAAGTCAAGAAGAGATTAAAGCAAAGACCTCCTCGACAAGTTTATAAAAATCATTTCAAAAGCAATTTTGTCAAACCTGTTGGCCGAAGTGCACTCAAGTGCTCAAAATGTGGAGATTCACAGCACTATGAGAATGAATGTCCTAAGGTCTGGAGACTAATTCGAAGAGACTTTGTTAAGACAGCCTATACTAATTCTCAAGGACCCAAA